TTTTGGGGGGGGGGGGGGCTCTCCTAATCTACATATTTACCATAAACCTTTTCACTTTTAATTTTTTGAAAACTTTCTTGTTACAGAATTTTGAGTTGCAAATTTTGAAACACTCTATATACACTTCTTATCCACTGATCTTTCATACATACATTTAAGTTCTGATTAGCAGGAATTTTTCTCCGATGAATGTGATAATTATTAGGAGTGGTGTATTACATAACAGATAACTAACTACCCAAGTAGAACAACAAGTCATTATGATATAAAAAAATGATGTCAAAATGACTCCAAAATGATCATTTAAAGTCATTTTTCAATCATTTTCGATTTATTTTAATATCATTTTGACGTTATCGTGACTTGTTGTTCTGTTTGGGTACGTAGTATTGATGAAAATAAAGATAATTTGGATAGATTAATTCTTAATCGTATTCTACTGTTAATGTGATAATAATTCTGTTCGGCATTTTTATCTTAGTGCTTATCTATTGATAAAGTATGATAATTCAAACGATTTTTAAATCACTAGACAACAGGTTCTGACTTTATGTAGGCTTTGTCCCCTCTTTAAGAGTAAGAAGTTTAGAACCTACCTGATAAAGGGGGGGAGGGAGGTTTTTTTTTGAGAGAGAGAGAGAGAGAGAGAGAGAGAGAGAGAGAGAGAGAGAGAGCGCATGTCAAATCGTTTATGTGCAAATATAAAAACAATCGTGGAGAATATGTTCAAAGCAGTGCGGCGAGAGTTGTCGTGCAATCATTGTCGCTTTATCACGACTGTCATTGCTTGTTCCTTTCGAGATAACGGTAAAATCACAGCAACGAGATCAGACTCGAGGAGCACTTGGATCCGAAAGTGGTCAACACAATCAAGCAAGATGGTGAAGGCGAGAAAATACGTGCTGGTGAATCATTTTGTGGACGAAGCAAAACCGACGGACCTAAAATTAATGGAAGAGGAATTGCCGCCGTTGCAAAATGGAGGTAGAAAAAATTATATAATCATTATCAACATTATATCTATGAGCTCATTAAAACACGTTATTACAAATGGGCGCGAGTATGACAGCAAGCGCGATTATTCAATTTAACTTCTTTTATCTCTTCGCGAAAGTTTTGTGATGAATTAAAACATAAAGTTATAATAAAATTCTTTTATTATAACTCAGTTAATACAAACTAAAAGGTAACATAACATTAATGTTACTTTTAGTTGGTGTTGACTAATATGTTAGCAAGTTATATTATATTCAGTTATATTATATATTATATTCATGCATATATCTGTCATGTAATGTATGTTTTGTTTGTTTTATAATTATAAGGTATATTACAGATATATATATTATACATTCTACACAAACACACACACACACACACACACACACACACACACTGTATTGTAACAGAAATTTATTAATTTATTTGAAACGAATTGGGAATTCTTAATTTGTACTATTGGATAAATTGTGCTTGTTATTGAAGTCTTTTAAATCCTTTATACGTTACAACTTTATCAATATATTACGAACTGTACGAATTTTTACAGGTTCTTATCCGAGATTAGATTTTATACAAGTATTTTTTATATTTTTTTATTATATTATCTATTTTATCAATTGGTTTATATGCCTGTATTGGTGATAGGTGAGATATTTAATATTTATATTTAAAAATAAACAAAATTTTGATTAAAAGAATCAAGTAAACACAGTGATGAATCAAATTTCCGAGGGGGTAACCACTAGCTGAAATATTGTCCCGCAGATTACATAATTTCATATGATTTTATCCAGGGTTGGGTAAGTTACTTTTTTCTTTTAACTAAGTTAAGTTAAAGTTAACAACCTTGAAAATTTAACTTAGTTAAGATACAAGTTAATGTATAATGAAATTAATTGAATTAAAAGTTAAGTTAATAAAAAAAAGTAATTGAAAAATTAAAAGTTAAATTTTTTTCTATTTTATGATTTCAGAGTCTTACAAATAACGGAAATGACAAACATATACTTCATTTAGAATATACTTTATATTTTATTTAAACTTTTTGTTTATATATGTACTGTTATATATATATAGATTTCTACCTATCAAAAACTAGATACATTAAAATATACGGTTTTTGCTAGATTGAAATCAATACATAATGTAAATAATGTATACAAACAAAACTTTTAAGTAAAATATAGAGTATGTTCTAAATGAAGTATATGTTTGAGTCTGAGACTTAACTTCAACAAATTTAAATAAAAAGTTAATAGTTATCGATAAAATGTAACTAAATAAAGTTAAACAGTTAAGAGTCTAAAATGTAACTAAGTTAAGTTAAAATTATTTAACTTTTCAACTTTTTAACTTAACTTTTAGCTTTTTAACTTGGCACTACCCAACCCTGATTTTATCTGATTATAAATAATTTTTTTCACTACATATGAAGTAATTTGATAAGATATACAATTTTATTTAATTAATTTTAATATTATACAATAATTTCTCGTGGTTGTATATGTAATTATCGGATTATACGTAGAGATTTCATACGAATTTTATAATTATTTCGAGGACTCTGTCCCAAGATTACATTAAGTGGTTGCCCCCTCGCAAATTTCGTTGCACGAATCGCTCATACAAGAATTTTATTGCGAAAAGAAATAATATGAATATTTCATGAAACAAAACATATAGCGATCATTCCACGTCAAACCGGGCACTTTTTGATAAAAAAAAATAAAAGATTCCGATTGTTTTAAAATTTTGTAGACGTATTCTAGATATAAAAAAATAAGACACGTGTTTCGGGAAAAAATTAAAAAAATGTTTTCACGAAGTGTTATGCTTACCTTTAAGTTTCAATAATTGATGAAAAACGTGATTTGTGTGTATATTCAAATGATTGTACCGCCAAAACGGTAAATCGAATGAAAAAAATACAAGAGATTAATTTTAAAGATTATAAATTGTTCTATTTTTTAGTTATTTTTAAATATACATATGTTTTGAATAAATATTTTTTTTATTGTTTATAATTTGTAAATGCATTTTTTGTCATCAACTCATCAACTTACAGTTTCAAAAAATAATTCATCATATTTGCTCTTCAATTCTGAAATAATCCTGAAAATTTCAAAATGGAACTCGAATGGATTATATAGATAATAAATTTTTTATATATATGTATAAGATCAACCGTGCGGCGCGGCGGCGTTCCAACGCACGAGCTGGAGCGGCGAGCGCGACGATGGCAGATGTTTTCGCCGCTCCAGCCCATGCACTGGAACGCCACTGCGCCGCATGGTTGATGTTAAAGAATTTATTATCTATGTAAGCCATTCGAGTTCCATTTTGCAATTTTCAGAATTACTTCAGAATTAAAGAACGAATATGATAAGTTATTTTTTGAAACTGTAAGTTGATGAGTTGATGACAAAAAACGCATTTAAAAATTATAAACAATAAACAAAATATATATTCAAAACAAATGTATATTTAAAAATAAAAAATAGAACAATTTATAATCTTGAAAACTGATCTTTTGGATTTTTTTCGTATGACTTACCATTTCGGCGGTACAATCATTTGAATATACAAACGAGCCACGTTTTTCGTCAATTCTTGAAACTTAAAGGTAAGCATAACTTCGTGAAAACATTTAAAAAAATTTTTTTCCCAAACACGTGTCTCATTTTTTTATATGTAGAAGGTATGTAAAAATTTAAAAAAAAATTTTAAATGTTGATTTTTTTGGTGCCCGATTTGACGTAGAATGACCGATAGGCGTTAATTTTACATGTTTCTTTTCGCATTGGCGCATCTGAAAAATAATTTACATATAAATATTGATACAGTTTTAGTTTATATATTAGTAAACAGATTGTTACCGGACCAGTGAGTTACCGAATCTAAGAGATTTTCATTTCATGATAGATAAAAATAAAACCAATACCAAGAATTTTGAATTTCTGAATTATAATCTATGTAAAATATAGAAATAATTCTGTCATGCAAAGACCATAAATTTAAATATACTTACATTATATAAACCATAATTTAAGTTTTGAAATATTAATTTCACACACTTTATCAGCGTATATCATTAATGCTTATACAGCATATAGATTGTCAAGAATAGAATAATTAGTATCTAAAAATAAAAATAAGACAAATGTCTCGTAATTAAAAATATACGTAATTAAATATATACGTAAATAAAAATATACAATTTTTCTTCATTTTGAGATTAAGCTAATATTAATAATTAAATTATAAAATCGGTACTGACAGTTCTGCTCTTAATTAAGTTAAATTTATCTGTTATAATAAATTATTTTGTGATATTATTTATATCTTTTTCTTTTTTTTAGAATATCTCGCAGAAGCTGAATACCTTTCTGTTGATCCATACATGAGACCTTATGTGCGAGATCTCCCACTCGGGGCCACGATGATTGGTAGTCAGGTAGCAAAGATCGTAGAATCTAAAAATCCAGCCTTCCCAGTCGGCAAGAGAATTGTCGGAAACCTGGGCTGGAGAACTCACACGATCATCGATCCAAAAACCGAAGATCAGTTTTTCAAACAAAACCCGTATCTTTTGCCAGACATAGGTGATCTGCCGCCGTCCCTTGGTCTTGGCGTGCTAGGAATGCCGGGGTAAAGATTTTCATCAACATATTTACTGGATTGTCTTGTTACATGAACTTGTTTGTCATTGTCATCATCCCTCGCGAAGAAAAAGCAAAAATTCAAATTTAAAAGGCATTGCAAAACAGAATATTCTTTGCAGCAGCGATGACTTTCATTTAAACTTTTGCTGTGTATAGATTACATAAATTATGAACCGGTGTTAGCATTAATTAGAGATTCCCATTTAAAATAGAAATTTAATTCTTTGAAATATATAAGCATTTATTTTAATATGAACAATAGAAAAAGAGATACAAAAAGATATAAAGATATAAAAGTCATCTGTCTGTGTGCCAATGACATTAAATATTGAATATTTCGCAATTACTGACGTTAAACAAAACATTGCCGCTCATAGTCATGTGTGTGATACGGACGACTTTTTAATCAACGTTTAGGATGGGCTATAATTTGAATTATTTATACTTAAAACCTATTTTATAAAAAAATGACATACACTTTTATTATTCAATTTTTCACGAATTTTTATGCTGCGATCTTTTATTAGCTTCCAATTTCGGGATACCCTATACAATAAAATATTTACAATTCTTTAAATTCTCTCTCTCTCTTTCTTTCTTTCTTTCTTTTATTCTTATTTACAGTAACACGGCATATTTCGGCTTGCTGGAGATATGTAAACCGAAGTCTGGTGAAACAATCGTAATCAGTGGAGCCGCAGGTGCGGTCGGCTCACATGTAGGCCAGATCGCAAAAAATCTGGGTCTAAATGTTATCGGTATATGCGGCTCCGACGAGAAGTGTAAGTGGCTTACTGAGGAAATGGGTTTTGATTTTGCCATCAATTATAAGACCATGCTAGTCGCAGCCAGATTACGCGAAATTGCTCCGCAAGGCGTGGATTGCTACTTTGACAATGTACGTATGTATTAATAATTGTGCCTTTTGTATAATCAATTAAACGCAAATTTTTCAATATGATCAAAGATGACTTTCATGTATTGTAATTTTCAAAATTTTCCTGTTACATCAAATTCTGTTAATATTATAGCTACCAATGATTAATTTCTATTACTTATACATATGTATATATTTTCACTACTTATAATTAGTTTATAATTATTTATAAAATTATTCTAATTAATAACGGGATGTTTTTTTAAAATTTTCCGTTACCTTTTTTGTAATACGTAAATAATTAAAACGATTAATTTACTTTCCTCTTTATTTCTTTCTTTCAAAAATTAAACACACTTTTGCTTTGATGATTCTAGAGTTAACATAAATCTGTTTCAAAATATTATGTTCTGAAAAATATTATGTTCTCCTTTCTGTGATTAGTTATTGAGATCTAATCCACGCTTATTGAATTTGCAGGTCGGTGGGGATATCTCTGGTACAGTCATGTATCAAATGAATTTGTTTGGTCGAGTAGGCGTGTGCGGCAGCATCTCGAGTTATAACGCCAAGTCCTTGCCCAAAGGTACGATTCTGCAACCTGCTATGTTGTTTAGCCAACTAAAGATGGAGGGCTTTATTGTCAAACGGTGGTCGGACCGATGGAATGAAGGAATCATGCAGAATCTGCAATGGATACGCGAGGGCAAACTTCGTTACCGTGAGACCGTAACTAAAGGCTTTGAGAACATGTTTGATGCCTTCATCGGCATGCTGCGTGGCGAGAACATCGGCAAAGCGATTGTCCAGGTGTAAATATCACAATGTCAACAAGTATTTCTTCTTATAAATATTCCTGCTCGTTTGCAATTTCACAACTGCATTTGGAATGTTTTCTGTATTTGTGACCGATTGAAAAAACTGAGTCTTATGAATTTTGTTCTCTATTCCTGAAGGTTCTTAAAGTTTTTTTAAATAATAATCATGCATTTAGATATTTAAATTTTGTAAGGAAAATCAGGATGAATTATTATAAATATGGAATGGAATTTATGTGATAGATAGAAATATTCTATTTTTATATGAAAATTCGGGTCCAATTGACAAGAATCCGTTGAGATCGTTTATATGTACACATTGTTTACATCTTATTATCCATCGAACTTTTATGTATATGTAAGTCGCATTTTGATCAGCAGAATTTTTCTCCGATGAATTTATAATTATTATATGTAAAATATTATGTAATTAACTGTTGTAATTGCGATGAAAATAAAGATAATCAACCAATCGAAATTCTTCTTTTCCATGGAATGGGAAGAAAGGAAAGATTCTGATTAGTTGATTCGTTTATGCATCATGCATTATGCTTTATGCAAAAGCTTGTGTCTGGGCTCTAAGGGTGATGTCCCATGCAGCGGATCGTGCGTAAGCGGATTCGCGTATCGCCAATCACAGAATCATTCTCTTAGATCTGTTTGTGCTGCATAGGACATCACCCTAAGGCAGCCGCACATACCTTCCGTAAGGGGCTCCACACAATAAAAGGAACAGGGAACAGAGACAACAGAGAATAAGGGCCTGAGCACAATAGAGGAACAGGAATTAGATATTAAGATTTCAATCTATCAGAAACTGATTACATCGGAATACACGGTTTCTGATAGGTTGAAATCTTAATATCTAATTCTTGTTCCTCTATTGTGCGCAGGCCCTAAGAATTTCAACCTATCAGGAAGCCAATTTGAAGCTTGCATTTTGAAATCAATGCTTCAGATTGGCTGTCGCAACAAGCTTGCGATCGGCTTGCATTTAACGTAGAATGGGCTGAAGACGATACATGGGGCATTCGGATGACGTTTCTAAACGTAGCTCAGTGAGTGCCAGTTTACCGATGTTGAGGGGAAAAAATTGATCTTCGATGAATCGAACGGAAAAATAATCGGTGAAAAAAATCGATAAATTAAAAATAAATAATCGGTGTATTCGATTAATCGATAGAAATCGCCCATCCCATGGTTACTAACCGTGCTACAAGCGGCTCGGAACAGTGATCCAGGTCGGGCCGCGTTTCTGGCGCATGCGCGTCGAATATCAGTATCGTACTCGTTATCAGTAAGCGGGAATTCATTAGTCGCCTACGTAAAATTTATTAAAAATTCTTAAAAATTATAATGTATTTTATATATTTTACATATATTACTTACAAACAAATTCACACATATTAAAAATATGATAATTTCTATTTAATAATAAAATATTAGCTGAAGAGTAAGAGAAAAGAGTAAAATAATTTATGAAACAGTTTTTTTATATTAAAATATGTCATTTGACAGAATCTCGTACCAATATTTGTTACAAGGGTAAGAAAAATTGCCAAAAATCTTAAATAAATATATATTTCCTTTTTTTTGCGTAGGAGGGGAATATCTTCGCATAGCCCCTACACAGTATTGATATTGTTATGACTGTTATGAGATTTTCTGCTCCTACGTAATCCTCCTATATATTTATTTTATGAACTTGTAAGATTTTTGGCAATTTTTCTTACCCTTATAACAAATGTTGGTACGAGATTCTGCCAAATAAAGTATTTTAATATATAAAGACTGTTTCATAAATTATTTTACACTTTTCTCTTATTCTTCAGCTAATATTTTATTGTTAAATGAAAATTGTCATATTTTTAATAATATATGTGTGAATTTGTTTGTAAGTAATATATGTAAAATGTATAAAATATATTATAATTTTTAAGAATTTTTAACAAATTTTACGTAGGCGACTAATGAACTCCCGTTTACTTGTAACGAGTACGATACTGACGCTGAGTTCGACGCGCATGCGCCAAAAACGCGGCACGACCTGCATCACTGGCTGATGGCTCGGAATCTGGAATTCACATCCCTGGTCTAGTGCAGGAACAGAAGACGAACTACGTGTTTCGAGCCCATTTTCAAATCTCGAGTTTGATCTCCTTATTACTTTGTATATACATCTGAGATTACCTTGGTGCAAGCTTTCCTATAATAATAAATCATTTTCTGGGATCACAGCGACGAGATCGAACACAAGGAATACTCTTGAATCAGAAAGTATTCAACACAATTACGCAAAATGGTGAAGGCGATGAAATACGTGATAGTAAGTAATTTCGATTACCGAGAGCCGGCGGATCTAAAGTTATTGGCTCTAAAGTTATTGGAAGAAGAGTTGCCGCCGTTGCAAGATGGAGGTAAAACGATTTCGTAATTGTTACGATCAACGACGTACCGTCTACAACCGTAATGCTTATTCTATAATGTGCTTTTTGTTTTCTGTTTCTTGCTTTTTGCTATTTTTCTGGCTAATTCTACAATGTGCGTTTTGTTTCCTGTTTCTTGCTGTTTGTCTCTTGCCTTTTTCATCAAGAAGGCAAGATACAAATAGCAAGAAACAGGAACCCTGATGAAAATAAAAATCGGAGCGTAAGGGCCTGAGCACAATAGAGGAACAGGAATTAGATATTAAGATTTTAACCTGTCAGAAACTGATTACATCGGAATACACGGTTTCTGATAGGTTGAAATCTTAATATCTAATTCTTGTTCCTCTATTGTGCGCAGGCCCTAAGTCGTATGTAATGGGAGAGTAACAGAAGCGTAAACGAAACTAATTGTAGAAGGCGAAAATTGGAACAACGAAGCATTTACGCTTCTTTTGTTGTTCCAATTTTCGCCTTTTAGAAGTTTCGTTTACGCTTCTTTTACTCCCCCATTACATCCGATTTACGCTCTGATTTTTATTTTCAGCAGGGAAACAAAAGCACATTGCGGAATAGCCATCTTGTTTTTTTGCTTCTAAAGCCTTGTGTCCACGATGCTAGAAATCTGTCCGAGATCTCGAATGAAGAAGGAATTGACCAATAGGAATGGTCATGTGATCAAATTGTTCAAATGTGGTTTGTTAATTTTTTCTCTGTCCGAGATCTCGGACTGATTTCTAGCATCGTGGGCGCATCGGGCTTTAGTGTCATAAGGCGACACAGTATCGATATTTCGAATATCGATATTTTACAGTCCGATATTTCGATATTTTGATCGATATTTTTGCTACCGATATTTAACAGTATCGATACGGGATGCTTCAATATCAAATTACGATGTATTCAATACCAAATCTAAAATCAAACTCTAATCAAACACTAATGCCGGCTGCAGACAAGTGCGATGTTAGTCGCGCATGACGCGCGATATCTAATGAGCGTACAGCTTTACCATTGTTCTCATTCTAAAGCTATACGCTCATTGGATATCGCGTTTCCCACGCGACAAACATCGCGCTGGTCTGCAGCCGGCATAACACCTATAAAATCAAACAAAAGGCGGTAGCCACTAACCAATGAACTTACAACTTTTTTATAAAAACGAAAGATTAATTGGTTATAGTATCGCCTTTTACCACGCGGCAAGCGTTCCCGCGTTTAGTGTACAGGAGCCATTAGGCTTGTTCTACAATCAGATGTATGTTGCATTCAAAGCCATAGAGAATGGACTGCGCTATCGGTATCTAAGTAGTGTATCAAATGTGGTCGACAAAATGAGAGAGGAGGACTGTGGGAGACGGCCAATCTCCCTCTCATTCTCTCTCCCATTACACCATTGGATGGAAAGAGATAGAAATGGCCGTCTGCTACGGTCCCTCTCTCTCTCATCCCTATCGACCATTTTGACACACGGATCGCGCAGTCCATTCTCTATGTCTTTGGTTGCAGTCAAATGTCGGATTTGGATTAAGTTCGTTTTACTCGAAGATCGAAATAAACTTTCGAGTAAACAATATAATTTGAGCTAGATGTTATTTTTAAGTTTTCTTGACATCAGTTACTGGCATTTGGACTGATATATTGTAAGATATTACTATATATATATAATGAGGAAGTCAAAATTTTGTCACAATTTTATTATCTGAACTTCATTATGATCCTATTTTCTAATATAAAAAATTTTGATAATGTCGATATTTTGTATCGATATCCTCAATATCGATACAATAGATTCGATATTTTTCATGTATCGATAGTGAATAATGATATATGCATCGATGCAAAATATCGATACATTTAATTAGATGTCCCATCTACCCGGTATTTTGTTTTATGTCGCCCGAGATAAAAGTTATGGCTGTTCTACAATGTGCTTTTTATTTCCTGTTTCTTGCTATTTGTCTCCTGCCTTCTTGATCAAAAAGGCAAGAGACGAACAGCAAGAAGCAGGAAACAAAAAGCACATCGTTGAACAGCCATTAACGAACTTTGGAAGACGGGAAACACGTAGCAAGAAATACAATTGTCGCAAATGGTTGCAAAGGGGAAGAAGCAAGAGGCGGAAAGCAAGAAACAGGAAACAAAGAGCACATTAATAGGCTTAAGCGTATCAATGAACATTATTACAAATAGGCGATGTGATTGCCAGCACGATTATTCAATTCAACTTCTTTTATCTCTCCGCGAACATTGTTCTGTAAATAAATTAATGAATTTAAAAAATGTAAGTTTGTTATAATCTAATTTCTAATTGATAAACTAAAAAGTCTCATAACACACACTTGCAACTATATTATAATAGAATTAGCAATGGATGAAAACACGGCGATAACGCCGATAACCCGCAACCTTCCGGCATCCTTGAAGATAATACCCGTGAAAGCCTAAAAAGCCTTATTATAATAGAAATTTATTTAGTTTATTTATAAAATGAATTAGGAATTCTTAATTTGTATTTCATTAAATAATGCAATTTATTATTTTATATTACAATAAATTGTATTATTAAATAATAAATTGCATTTGTAATCGAATTCTTATAAATCTTTCATATTACAACTTTATCAGTACATTACGAAGTACGTTATGAATTTTTACAGTTTTTTTATCCAAGATTAGATTTTATTCAAGTACTTTTGTTATTTTATTATATACTATCCATTTTATTAATTGGTTTCCTAAACAAGGACGAATTGAAATTGAAATGGATTCAGATTTTCGGAAGTACGCATTTGCGAACGTCGAAATGAATCATTTTCAATCCCTACTTTATTCATTTATAGGCATTGCATGAAACACATTTTAAGTGCATTGTAAATATTACTTAATTAAAAAATCTGAATAGGAAATGAATCCAATTGAAGCCAGTTGAATCCGATTGGATCCAACTGAACCCAATTATATTGAATTAAATAAAAAAAATACGATAAAAAGAAAGACAAGATCGGTCAAAATTTGGATATTACAAATAATACATTATATATTCTTTTATTGAATTAATTTATTCCAGATATAATTGCGAGCCGATATCATTCGATTTCAACACAATATATCATTCTAAAACGCTAATAATCCCCCCTAAATTAAATTAGAAAGAAAGTAAGAAATTTATTGCAAAAAATTTTACCTCAGCCAGGATTTAAAAAAAATATTTTTCGTAGTAACTTTCTTTCTTTCTTTCTAATTTAATTTAGGGGGGATTATTAGCGTTTTAGAATGATTATGTTGAAATCGAATGTTATCGGTTCGCAACATTTACAATAAATTGATTGAATAAAAGAATATATAATGTATTATTTGTATCATTCAAAATTTGACCGATCTTGGCTTTCTTTATCGTATTTGATATATTCACATATACAGTCGTGTTTAAAATTCTTAATAAATAAAAAAATGTTTTTACGTAAAAATACGCATTTGGATAATACATAAAATTTCAAACCATTTTTAACCATTCTCATTTACTGGGTTATATGACTGTGTTGGCAATAGGTGAGATATTCAATATATATTTATTTTAAAGATAAACAAAATTTCAAAAAGAAGCAAATAAACACAGTAACGAATCAAATTCAGTTGCATGACACGATAATAGCTTGTACAACAATTTTACTTCAAAAAAGTAAAAGTATTCATATTTTATTGAACACAATATAAAGGCGATAATTTTCACGTCTTTTTTTTATACTGGCGCAATTGCAAAATAATTTACGTATAAATATTAATCTAGTTTTAAATCGTCTCTAAGTAAACGGATTATTATGGCATCGGATTATATATGGCACTATTAATCAAAGATTTCTGTTTCATAGACAATTTAATAAAAATAAGGAGCCTGTTAATGAATTGCTTGATTTTATTTTCTTTTAAAATTTTCCATCATAATATACGATTTTGTGAACTATAATTATTTGTACAAAATGTGTAAATAGTTCTGTTGTGAAAAAAATCATAAATTGAAATATATTTATGTTGAATCATGATTTAAGTTTCAAAATATTAATGTCATGCGCTTTATCAATGCTACAGTATAAATTAAGAAAGGATAATTAGCATCTAAATAAAAACGAGACAAATAGTTCGTTATTAAAATTTTATAAGTTTTCTTCACTTCGATATATCAATAATTAAATTATAAAATCAATAGTGACATCTCTCTTAATTAGCGATATTAAATTTATCAGTCAGAATGAATTTCTGTGACATTATTTATATATCTTTTTTTTTTTTTAGAATATCTTGTTGAAGCCGAATGCTTTTCTGTCGTATATCCATATATGACATTTTCCGTGCAAAATTTCCCACGCGGGACTACAATGCTTGGTTATCAGGTCGCTAAGATTATAGAATCTAAGAACCCTGACTTTCCGGTTGGCAAAAAGATAATCGGATCTCTGGGCTGGAGAACTCACACGATTATCGATTCAAAAACCAAACAATCGTATCTTTTGCCAAACATAGGTGACCTGCCGTCGTCTCTTGGTCTTGGCGTGCTAGGAATACCTGGGTAAAGATTTTCGCTAAAATATTTATTTAATCACTTTGCAATGACGTAAATTTATTTGTCATTATTTTACGTAGAAATGAGTAAAATTTAAAAGACTCAACAAAACGTAATTTGCTGCAGCGATGACTTGCATTTGAATTTTAAGCTTTCGTAGATTATAGCCGGCTCGCGTAAAATAGCCATGGCAATGTCGCTGCGCGTAGCTTAGCGTCGAGACATTACCAGTGTCTCCAGACAATAGCTATGAACGAACACTAACATTAATCAAAGATTTTCGTTCGAGATAACAATTCCGTACGATAAAAATTTAATTTTTTTATGAAACAAATAAGTATATTTATTTCTGACGAAGAAAAGATATAAAAAGATGTAAAAATATAAAATTCATTTGGTCTGAGTGTCGTGCAATGATATTTATAGATGTTGAATATTTCGTGATCACAGATGCTAAAAAAATATTGCTGCTGTAAATATGTATTATCGCACAGTCATATGCGTGATAAAATGACTTTTCACTCAACGATTAGGATGGCTTATATTTTGAGCTTATACGTTTTTATACTTAAAGAATTATTTTATGAAAAGTCTGGCATACACTTTTATTACTCAATTTATTACGAACTTACATGCTGCAATTTTATTTTTATCGAATTTCGTACACATTATACATAATAAATTATTTATGACTTTTTCTTTCTCTTAATCTTGTTAACAGTAACACGGCATATTTCGGTTTGCTGGAGATATGTAAACCAAAGTCTGGCGAAACAATCGTAATCAGTGGAGCCGCAAGTCCGGTCGGCACACACGTGGGCCAGATCGCCAAAATTCTGGGCTTAAATGTTATCGGTATATGCAGCTCCGACGAGAAGTGCAAGTTTCTTACTGAGGAAATGGGTTTCGATTTTGCCATTAATTACATGACCACGCCAATCGATATCAAATTGCGCAAAGTTGCTCCGCAAGGCGTGGATTGCTACTTTGATATTGTACGTATTTCTAAAATATCTTGTTTTTTTTATTAAACCCGATTTTTGTCAATATGATGGCCGTCGTTTGCTGTAACTTTCAAAATTTTACGTTATGTCATAGTCAATACAACTAACGATTTTCTAATACTCTGCTTAAAAAGTACGATAAAATAAAATAGGAAAAAAATCTATCTAATTAAATCGTATTTTTGGTCCGTAAATTTTAGATTATTTATCTGAAATATTTTATAAATTTTACTTTCACAACAAATTTTTACTGAATCAATTTACTTTATAGACCAAGTTTTTTTTTAAAATATGATTATATTTGACGTTTCTAATGATCATACAATAAAAAAAAAATATTTTATGTAAATCCGTAGAGGGGCACAAAAATAGCCTTGTGATCCTCCTCATCGTTTATTTACTTTGCAGACCGGTGGAATTATCTCTAGTATGGTTATGTACGAAATGAATACGTTCGGTCGGGTAGCCGTGTGTGGCAGCACCTCGACTTGTGCCATGGACTCTTTGTCCTATCTTAAAGGTAGAATTCTGCAACCTACTATATTTTCAAACCAACTGAAGGTGGAGGGCTTTAGTGTCAAACGTTGGTTGGACCGATGGAATGAAGGAATCATGCAGAATCTGCAATGGATACGCGAGGGCAAGCTTCGTTACCGTGAGACCGTAACTAAAGGCTTTGAGAACATGTTTGATGTCTTCATCAGAGGTGTGCGTGGCGGGATCATCGGCACAGCGATCGTCCAGGTGTAGATATGTCAACAGGTATTTCTTCTTATAAATATTCCTGCTCGTTTGCAATTTCACAACTGCATTTGCAATGTTTTCTGTATTTGTGAGAGATTGAAAAATAAATGAGTCTTGAATTTTGTACTCTATTCCTGAAAGTTCTTAATGTTTTTTTAAATAATGATCGTGCATTTAGACATTTAAATTTTGCAAGGATGAAACCAGGATAAATTATTATAAATATGGAATGGAATTTACGTGATCGATAGAAATATTCTATTTTTATATGAAAATTCGGGTCCAATTGACAAGAATCCATTGAGATCGTTTATATGTACACATTGTTTACATCTTATCCATCGAACTTTTATGTATATGTAAGTCGCATTTTGATTAGCAAAATTTTTCTCCGATGAATTTATAATTATTATACGTAACATATTATGTAACTAACTGTTGTAATTGCGATGAAAATAAAGATAATTTAGATAAATTGATTGTAATAAAATTATCGCATTCTGTTAATGTGATCGTTGTATTAATAATTTTTATTTTAGCGCTTATCTAGTGGAGTCGTAGATCAGTTATAATAATTCCAATAGTTATTAAATTACTGGATAACAGATTCTGACAAACTTTATCTGCATTCTCCTTATCCCCACTTTAAGGTTGCGTTTCGAGAAGCTAGAATCTCTCTAGGCCGCGCTACGCCCACACGCTTAAAAATCATTTTACCCTTGTTTGTCAAATGTTAAACGAAGACAAACGATGCTCATGAGCGTTGTCAGCATGAATCGGACCACACTTTAGTACAAGAGTCAAGTCATAAAGGGTGCTTTCCAATTGCAATATCCCCAGACATTTTCTTGCACACGTGCGCTGGTGTGCCGGAGCCATAAGGCCGGAATCAGACTACGCATTGAAGAATAAGATTGAAGTTTAACCAATCAGAACAAAAGGGACCAAAATTTCCTCATCCTCATTGGTGAAATTTCAATCTTTACTCTTTAATCTCAATCTTCAATGCATAGTCTGATTCCGGCCTAACACAAGTTGCATTCCAATTGTCCGTTATCTCTTACTACGTTTACACGGCAAGCTTTACGCCAAAGTTATAACATCGATGTTATGTAACTGCCCAATCACAGTCATTCCATTCTTCAGAGGAATAACTATGATTGGCCAGTTTCATAACATCGATGTTATAACTTCGGCGTAAATCGAGCCGTGTAAACGTAGTCATTGACACAACACTACACATCCGTACTCAATCGGGGATGTGTAAGCTTGTGTTTTCTAGTGACAATTACGTGTTACTAACCGCGGCAGCTATAAATGAGGCTGGAAGACATTGAGTGGCCGACACGTTCACTTGTTTTTGTTTAATAGAGGCGGAAAAAGCTACATATTTAGGGTTTGTTCGCGTCGCATGCTCCAATATGCTCCTACCATAACTCCTACTTACTCCAACGCGCATGATAAAGTGAGTAGGAGCTATGGTAGGAGTATGTTGGAACATGTTGGAGTTTGCGACGCGAACAAACCTTTTTACTAGATTCACACGGGGTGATCCCGATTGACCACGGCTCGATTGGACACCACCAACCACAGCGACCGGTGCTTAGGAGCTTTG